AGTTGTAGATGACGATGGAGGCTGTGAAGTAACAACTGATTAAGGTTTATGAACAAAATTAGAGTCTTGAGAGGATAAATTTTCACCATGGCAAAAGAATTCCAAAACTTGAATCCAGGGAGAAAACTATGTTTTCAATAACAAGTCTCTTCAGTATTGAAGGCTTACCACAAAAGGTGCAGTGCTTAGTAGGACTAATATTCCCATTTGGTTTGGAGCCAGTATGAGAAGGACCCTTAGCAAGCAAGATTTTGACATCAGAATTAATATAGAGTTCCTGTTCTTATTGAAGAATAAGAGAAAAAACTCAATTAACAGGAGGTAAAGGGTCAAGAAGCATTATCTGTGATTTGATTGTGCTAAATTGATCATTCAGACCTTTAAGAAAATGAAGAACATAATCTATTCTCTATAAGTACGTGCAGTATCAAGGGAACCACAAACACAATTCTTGATAGGCTGAAGATTAGTGAGTTCATCCTAAAGAATCTTTAATTGAGTAAAGTATTCACTTATGCTTTGATCACCTTGCTTCAAGGTAAAGATTGCTTCCTGAAGATCGGCAATGCAGAAGATGTCAAACTAGGTGAATTGAGAATGGAGATCATTCCCAATGTCATAAGCATTATCAAGCCATAAGATGCTTTTGGCAATTTTAGAGAAAGACTCTTGGTAAGCCAACCTTGGACAAGGTTACTGCAATGCTCCTAAGCTGGAAACAGAGGATCGAAGGGAATCAACGAAGAAAGAGAACCATCAATAAACTTCAACTTATTCTTAGAGAGTAAGGCCATAAGCATAGTTGTGGCTAATGTTTTGAAACCCGGACCGAACATCAAACTGGAAAGAGCAACGAGTTGCGGTTTTCACGGTCTAACCGGTTAGACTGACGGTCGAACCGGTGACATAAAAATTAAATAAAAAATAAAATTTATATGTACAATTATATAAATAAAACATTAATTTGTTAATGGTACTTGGAATCTCAACCCCAAAAGCTAGATATTTGAATTTTTGGAGCTAGAGATAGAGGCATGTCAATACAAACTTGTGATCTCAAAGGAAAATGTTAGAGCTGGAGGCATACTATCATGTCATAACTCACAAACTTTCGATCTCAATGCTAAAGGTCAGATCTTTAGAGCTGGAGGCAGATGTTGGAGGAGAAGTTAGAGATTGAGTTTGAGCCATGAAGGAGAGGTTAGATATTAGAGAAGAGAAGAAAAGGGAGCATTAGTGATTAGAGAAGAGAAATTGTGAATTTAAACAACTTAGCCAAAAAATTTAAATTTTTTTGGCTTTGAACCGGGTTGACCTGGGTCCGGTTCCCAGGTCAAAGTCGGTTCTCTTAAAACTGGCCGGTTTAACCTGGGGTCAAATATCAGATTGGTTTAATTGGTTAAACCGGACCATTTTTTTCAACGGGTGGTGGTCGGACCGTCCGATCCGGTCTGGTTTTGACAACATTGGTTGTGACTCAATAGTGATAATTGGTGCCATCCAATGGAGGAGCAACTACGGCTAATGTTGGGTTCTCATTGGCATGGATGTAAAACGAATTGGTCAAGTCAGAAGTTAGCAAAAGAGGGTTAGGGCTTGGGTTGGGGATGAAGGATGAAGTCTCAATAGCCATGAGGAAAAAGAAGTCAAACCAAAAACAAAAAAGGCTAGGTCGGATCAAAAAAGTAATAGACTCATGATACCATGTTACCAAACAAAAATGGAAATATTGGATGAAAAATATACTCTTCATTCATAGTAAAACAGAGTAATACGAGAGTATCAATACACGATAAATATACTGTGTAAAGTCTAACAAAATTATTTACAATTAATTAACAATTAAACAGAAATTATTCTGAGACTGATATTAATTAATAAAAAAATTGGAATATCTTGAAACCTTGGTTGATTACAATTGAGTAATATTGATGCAGTACTATACAGAAATAAACCTTTTTCTATGGGCGTCAAACTCTGCAGCTGCATTTCTTTTTCTTGTTTCCGTATCTATGATTTATATATCGCTCGGATCAATTATTTAATAGCTCCGTCGAAGTTTCAACCTTTCGTCATTAAACTTCGCCTGACCTAATAATGGTGGTGATCTCAGATCACTCTATATATAATATATATTGACCGTAATTTATTAATTTCAGAACTAATTCTTTGGTCAAGTGTCTTCCACGAAGCTACATGTACGTGATCATCCGTCAGTTATGCGCGCTCTGATTTCCAAGTACGTATCAAGGAAAATTCCCAGCTGCTACTGTCTCTCCACGTAGTCACTTAATTAACCTCATCTAGGCAAACTGGACACGTGTACTTTTCTTTTTCATAACGTTTGAAGTTTTCTGGACTCTGGATCGCCAAGCCATAACAAATAAGGAAAAAAAAATTGCCGTTAGATTTTTCTAAGAACCGAGAGTTTTAAAATACTTCCTCCATTTTAAAGATATTTTTTAAAGAGTTAAATGTTTAAAAATGTAAAATATTTTTAAATCTTTCGAGATGTAATCATTACTTTTTCCAAAAGCACTCCTATTAATAATGACTTTATATTTATTATAGAGTGTTTAATAGGAATAAATATAGAAAGATAGGGTTAGTTTAAAAGTAGGTAATTTCTTTATTAGGAAGTGAAATTCAATTAAAAATATCTTACATTTTTAAACGGAGAGAATATCAAATAGCTTTTAAGCTCGGGCTATTATGGGTTGTGCTCATTGCTCTTGAAAATGGTTTGGCTGACTTTATATATATATATATTAAAAAAATCATTTTTAAAAATAAAATCATTAAAATTCATTGTGTATATGTAATCTTATGATATAAGTTTCATGTTCTTTGAGAAATAGAGCTTACAATTATTTGGTGTAAGTATTTTTTTTAATTACATGATGACAATAATTTAAATTTAAAACTTCAAACTTTAACTTTAAAGCACTTATGTTGTATTATTTTTAACCTTTAAAGAATTGAGGTTTCTGTTTCAGATACTATAATTTATAATTTGCATGCTATATATATGCTCTTCTGTGTGTGTGTGTGTTTGCATATACTACTAATTTGTATTTGAGAAAAGATAAAAAATAAAAAAATAAAAGCAGTCTTGCAGGTCCAACCTAAAACTTTATTAAGCTGCCATATTTGTTATAGCTTTACAGCCAAGAGCTTTGCAGCAAGGTCATTTCAAGGTGATTAACTTCTAACAACCCGTGGTTGTTATTCCAAGCGCTAACGTACAGCTGACAAAAAGAAATACCGTGGTTTACCAACCCGTGTGAAAATAATAACATTCAAATTATTGAATTCTTCGTTGTCTCGACCAACCAATTAATATTCTTTGTCATATGGAAAAGAAGTACTCTATTATGAAATATGCATTCATCTTAACCAATGGGCAAGCCTTGTTTGAATCTATATCTATATGCAGGAAATATATTTGTTTCTATATATGCACATAATTCCCAGACTCTTTTTCATTCAAAAAGGTTAAATAAAATCAAAAGTAATATTCATTAATTAAGTGCAATGTAATATATAGTTAAGCCTCTTTGGTTTCGTTTTAATATGATTACACGACTTTATGGATCAAGCGACTTAATAATATGAATCAGTAGAGTTTTCTCCAGGTATTATGCAACGTAATGTAAGGACTATAAAATTATTACTATTTCTGTCTTAAATTATAAAATACTTTTAGACAAGATTCAATAAAAAAAATATAAGATATTTTAACAAAAATAAGATTTTATTATTAATGCTTTTTCAACATTGCCCTTTTCATTATATTTTCTCTCTTCAATGTTCTTTTATAGATACAGTATTAAGTAAAAAGTATTTTTAAAAGTTTATATTTTTATTTTTAAAAAATAAAATTACAAAGTATATTTAATAAACTTTATTAATATGTATAATTTTATGTAAAAATGTTTTATTATTTCGAATATATAAAGGCTAACGTGGTCAAAGCTTATAGGCCGAACGTCAAAATATTCCTTAACGCACGTAAACCGGGACTACGCAAACATTAGTAAGCAGCGAGAAAGAGAATGCATATTTAGGTGGACATTTCCTGCCGATTGTAAAAGGAATTCAATTAAATTAGAACAAATTTATCTTTTAATTCATAATTTACCATCCAATTAAATTTTTTTATTAATCATTTTATTTTTTTAAAAAAATTAAATGTACTTGTGTTCATTTGATTGAAGCAAGTAGTTTAAGTATATTAAGTTAAATAGATACAGGGCAGTTGTTTTTTTTTTTGTTTTTTTAAATTAAAGGATGCATATGTTGCCTGTCTCTTATATAAATTATTATTACTTCTATCCAGATCAAATTATAAATGACTTGATTAAAAATTATTGGTAAAAATAAAGAGTATAATAAGAAATTTTAATTATGGTTAAATACTTTTTTGAAATAATAATCAATCTCAACAATATTATTTATATGAATATGTATCTAAGCGTTGTCATAAATAAAACAATACTTTAGAACAAATTAAATTATGATTTTCAACGAGAAATAAATGATGCTAATGAAGACTTAAACAAATATTAATTTTGAGATATTATCATGAGAGTTCGTACATATTTAAGGAAAATGTCAGATAATTTCGCAGACACATGCGAGAAAGAAATGTACCCTTGAGTAAGGGACAAGGACCCAACTCGTCTCTCACGCAACCCATAACGGAATCAACACGGGATCCGCTGTAAGTCAAGCGAGCAGATAGTTCAGACTTCAGAATCCGAAGCGAAAAAGGAAAGCTGGTCACAATTCATTAAAAAATAAAAAGAAAAGAAAAAACAGTTGCGCAGTTAATTAATGGTGTTTACATGGGAAACTTGATTGGACGTTGAATTATTCAAAGTCAACGATCTTCGGGGTAAGACTTGGCCAATATAAAACACGGCCGGCTATGATACTCTCTTCATTATTATTAACTAGACCCTCCATCGTTCAATTGCACCAAGAGTACTGATAGCAATATGGCTTTGCAGCAACCTCACTTTGTGTTGGTGCCACTGTTTGCTCAAGGCCACATGATCCCCATGATCGACATGGCTAGGGTTTTGGCTGAGCGAGGCGTGGTCGTGACTTTGGTCTCAACGCCTAGCAATGCCTCACGGTTCGAGCACACGATTCACAGAGCTTCACAATCCGGACTCCCGATTCGTCTTCTCAATATCCCATTTCCCTGCCAGCAAGTGGGTCTTCCCTTAGGCTGCGAGAATCTTGACACTTTACCTTCTAGAAGCCTTCTAAGAAAATTCTACAATGCGCTCCACTTGATGCAACAACCCTTGGAGGACTATCTCCGAACCCAAACCACTCCCCCGCCTAGCTGTATTATCTCCGACAAATGTCTCTCTTGGACATCCTCAACAGCCCAAAAGTTCCACATTCCCAGGCTTGTCTTCCATGGCATGTGCTGTTTCTCGTTGCTGTGTTCGTACAATATCATGCTTCACGATGCTCATCTCTCTGTAAGTTCTGATTTGGAGCCTTTTCTCATCCCCGGACTGCTTCAGAAGATCGAGATCACGAAAGCTCAGCTTCCAGGAGCGTTCGTCGCTCAGCCTGACTTGGATGATTTAAGAGACAAAATGAGAGAGGCAGAGATGTCGTCTTATGGTATTGTTGTTAACAGCGTCGAAGAGTTAGAGCACGGGCATGCCCGGGAGTACGAAAAGGCCATGAATAAGAAAGTTTGGTGCATAGGCCCGTTGTCCTTGTGCAATAAGGAGGGTTTGGACAAGTTTGAGAGGGGAAACAAGCCTTCAATAGAAGAGAAACAGTGTTCGGAATGGCTTGACACGAAGCAACCTAGGTCAGTCTTGTACGTTTGCCTAGGTAGCTTATGTCGGCTTCTTCCATCACAACTAATACAACTTGGGTTGGCTTTAGAGTCGTCCCAAAGACCCTTCATCTGGGTGGTTAAAACTGCTGGAGAGGATTATTCTGAGATAGAAAAATGGTTAATTGATGAAGGTTTCGAGGAAAGGATTAAAGGAAGAGGGCTTTTGATAAAAGGATGGGCCCCGCAAGTTCTCATACTGTCACATCCGGCGATCGGAGGATTCTTGACCCATTGTGGTTGGAATTCGACGTTGGAAGGAGTGTGCTCGGGGATACCATTGATGACGTGGCCTTTGTTCGCGGAGCAGTTCCTGAATGAGAAGTTGATAGTGGAAGTTCTCAAGATCGGAGTTCGAGTAGGCGCTGAGGTTCCGGTGAGATGGGGGGATGAGGGGAAAGTTGGGGTATTAGTGAAGAAAGATAGAATCAAAGAAGCTATAGAGATGTGTATGGAGGGTGGTGAAGAAGGTGAAATTAGGAGGAATAGAGCCACCGAACTTGGCAAGATGGCTAGAATGGCTATACAGGAACAAGGTTCGTCTCACTCTAACACTTCCCACTTAATCCAAGATATCATGGAACAGTCTAAACGTACTGCAGGCTATATATGATTAGATATCTGAAGTGATTAGATAGATAATAATCCTCAGGTCTCACCCAAGATATACATATCGGTACCTATTATATATTGTTCTTCTCTCGTGTCTCTCTTATTCACTGTAAGAGTTGTTGAGATGGTTCGTCAAACGTTTCTTTATAATTTCAGCTTGGATAAATAAGCCCTAATAAATTAGATAACCTATTCTTTCAACAATTGAAAATTTCAAACCTTCTAGATGTTGCATATAATAATCAGGTGGGTCTATCATGCATTTCATGATGCCGGAGGGATGAGTGGTGTACTACTATTCAAATGTAATATATGAATAATAATTTGATTAGTTATGGACTTTATGTTGTTATATATATTGATCTTGTTGAATGATAATTAATTGCTCCATAATATTTTGTATTATAAACGCAATATGAGAGCAGGAATTATTATCTTCTTCATGGACTGTGTATGTGTTTGTGTGTGTGCACATATTGATTATGGTTACACACCGCGCCTTTTATAAATAAAAAGATTGATAGAATTTCATGTAATGCTGATGTATGAATGTATATCTTCTGTTCTGAGGATTCTTAAGGTTTGGTATAAACTTCTCTGAATAGGTTCAATGTTGACTTTATATAATTTATTAATTAAAGCAATGTTTCTTTTGAAGAAAATATCTATAACAAAAGTCATATCGCGATTGCCTGCCCTGTAAAAAAGTCTAATTAAAAAAAAAAGGTTCGAAACTAAATCGTTTATTTATTAATCTTTGTCTATATATAATTGTTACTTATAAAACCAGCAATATTATTATGATTTCAAATCACACGCAAACTTTTTAATTTTTATACACGTCAGCAATTTGCAGTGTCGATGGTATAGCTAATGTTATCATAAAACAAGTTATATTTGTTAATATTACCAGTTAGTTCTTATGATTCTGTCAGCGCATGACTTATATTATTGTCAATATCAATATTATTATTTATTCTATCATGATCATAAAATATGAAATCTATAGCAAGACACAATGTTCATAAACTATATATGAATATGATTGTAATATTCTACAAATTCTATATAAATGCAATGCAAGTACTGTGCGTGGTTGGTTATATGTCATTGTTAATATCTATGCAAAAGTATTTTTAAATTCTAAATCTTTTACACAATATATATATATATATATATAATAGGAGATTAAAAGAATATTAGTTATAGATACCATAAAATCGTATATAAGCTAGCTACCAAAGTCAAAAGCATCCAAGTGAGAACCGAAATATAACGCATTTATAAACCCGAGCAACATAACTGACATGTCGAAACGTTGTGTGAATGTGTGTATCCATTGCTAAGTTACTAACAAAGTTGCGTCTAGCAGAAAAAACTAATATCTTACAACTTAATGAATCAAGTTTTAAATCTTTGTTATATTTACATTTGGATCACGTTTGCTTACTAGAATGGAATGAAATGGAATCAATTAAAAAAATCAAGACAAAAATGAAGTAAATCACCATTTCACTCATGGTGAGCATAATAAAATTTATTAATATATATTAAAAATATGAGAATTATTATATCGTTTAAAAATTTTATGAATTATGATTTTCAATCTTATGAACTAAATTACTCTTCTTTCTTATGAATGTGCTTACCTATCTCCCTTAACTATCTTATTTTTATTTTTATTTTTTTAATACATTCCATTCTATCCTATTCTAGCAAGCAAATGTGACTTCAGTATTTGAGTGTGCATCAAACAATTGATATTGGCTCAAATGAGAGGATATTTATGAGTTCAAATATATATATATATATATGTATGTATGTATGTATGTATGTATTGCTAATTAAGTTGAAATGAAAAGGAGTTTGTTGTGTAAAAAGCAGACGTGGACGCGAAAATATAAGGTAGGGCTTGCATGAAAAAAAGGCAGCTTAGTCCAAAATAGAGGGAAAGAGTGATCGGGAAAAGGTAATTCGAAATTTCGAATATCGCCACTTATTGTTCACTTAACGTGAGACTTGTAATTATGCAATGGGGCTTCCAACTGTAGGAATTGAATACACACCCACACACACGTATTGCTTCACTTCCAAACAGGAAATAATAATTTTTAATTGTGTGCGTGGCATATAAAACTGGACCTTGTATATTCAAGAGAGGTTCCTCAAGACAATACTCCATCCTGTCTTAAATGTGCGTAAGAGACGGGTCACTAATTTACAATTTTACATACATTAAGGAAATTAATAAAATTAATTATTTGTACAAAAAGATATGTGTTATGTTTTCTTAAAATACTTCCTTTAATTACCTCATTGATGAAAACTCCCCTTTAACATATGTACAATTAATAGGGATAATTTGATGAAATATTATAAATTTGAGACAAAATAGATTAGCCAGGTAAGAAGGAGTATAGCATTTTATCCAAGCATCAATTATATATCTAAGAGATTACACAATATAATTGAGCTACATATATCCTGAAAAATTCATTTCCTAAATCAATTATTAAAACAAATTATAACCATATATGGATTCACGCAAAAGTTCATGGATTGGAGAACCCGAAAAAAAAAAAAAGCATGATAAATATTTCCTTTTTTCGATGGACAGGTACAACATGAGACATGCATATAGGTTGAAGAAAGACAACGTGTTTTATTTTTCCCCTAATAAAAAGAGAGGGATCATCTAGAAACATGCACCAAAACTACAAATCACTACTCATATATGAGGTTTCTACAAGCTTCAGGAGAATCCGCTAGAGTTTCAAACTCCTTATCAATATCATGTGCATGTTGAGTAAATCAGTGGGCATAAATGCTGGCCACTCTAAAAACGTGATCATAATAAGTTACCGATTACTCATAATAATTCTTTCAATTTCTTCAACAAATGTTAAAAGGTATGCATCTCCCATCTCTATAATCTTTATCGAGACAGACCAGATGTTGTTCCTCGTTTATTTATTGCCTCCCTTGACCTTGAGCTGCAATGCCCCTAACCCACATATGTCTTATCAAGCTATAGAGTTGATATGCAATCCTGCTGTCACAACTCACAACACGATTATATAGTCAATTGCTTTAATTTGTCAACTTTGTTGACGCTGTGTATACCAAATGATCTCATTGGCAAGTTTTAAGTTTTAACTAGTAATACCAATACTCTTTGAGACCTTTCTGGTCAAAAGAAAATGTTGATGACGATGTTCGTGTGTATAGGCTTTGACTAATCGAAACGGCAACACTGCACCTGACATGAGCACGCACTTTGAGTTTAAGAATTCAATTAATGGATTGTGTGAATTGTTTTTATTTAAAAAAAAAAACTGCGTGCTGATTTTCTATTGAAAGGAAATTAAAGGTGTGGTCAAATGTGAGACAAACAGTGGTGGTACGAAAAGTGCATGATGTTAGAGGTGGGAAAAGCGGTAACGTTGGCAATCAATGGAGCGTTGAATTTGAATGAAACAGTTTTTATATAAAACCCACATTGTACATGTGGAATTGCATCGATTGGAGTTATCATTCCATTCCATATTCATTTAAAAATGTGTTAAGACCTAAGATATGATTTGATATTTGGAATATTAAATTTGGCTTTGGCAGTTCTCTTCTGCCTAGCTAACGTGGGTGGGATGGCTTTGAATTATCTTGCAAACGTTTAAACCGACAGTGTGTGGCTGCTTAACATCTATAGCCCATCAAATGTCCGGTCAGGATTCCGTTGGCGGAACATACGACTTTTGTTTCCGTTGTGTCACAACTTACGAGTTCAACTTAACTTCTTTTTTTTTTTTAACTTTACGTAGCTTAATATATACATCTCTCAAAGTAAAATAGAAAAGTTACACTCTTTAGACATGGATAAGAGTTATGTATTTTGCTTTACATACTTAATGTATTTTTAGACAATATCATGAATTATTGCTTAAAATTTTAATTTTCTGAAATCTTAATCATAATGTTTTTAAAATTTATAAATGAATATTCTGAGAGCTTTAAAAGGAAGCCTAGAAAGCATAAGATTTCTACTTTATTCTGAGATTTTTTTTTTTTTTTTAAGATCTTAAAAGCCTCGCTTGGCGTGACGTGTCATACTGTTGCATAAAAGCGACATCACGATTATGGAGTCTCTGTAAACTTGAATTTGATGGTAACAGATGTGCAGCATCTCAAGTCATCAGAAGGCGCTTTACGCTAGTCAGAGGAAGGTCTTGGGCTCTTTCGAGTCGCTAACTTGTTTTCTACGCTTGCCACAGATCTCGTCACTTGTTCCCACGTAGCCTAATCAGCGTTGGCATCCTTTGAAGCTACGTTTTGGTTAAGTTAGTAAAGTTTTATTGATTATACATTTTAACGATGAAGGGTAGATTTAATTTAAAAAATTATATATCAAAACAACTAACTTCATGAAAGAAATTTCAAACATAAAAGAAAAGGGCATATCATTTGAAGGCTTTATAAAAAGAGAACATTTTTGACCAGCGAATTTAAATTTTATTCTTGTAACCTTATTTTGATGAAAATTAATTGAAAATACATTGATTCTGTTGAAAAACCTTTGCCTCATCTTGCCTCCCTGCTTTTTTACTTGCCAGTTTTGACGCTCTCCTTTCGTTCTCAGATTTTTTTGGGCACAAGGAAAAAACCTCAAATACTTAATCTTTTATCTAAATTCTCGATCACCCATCTCGAGCCAATCCGCTCCTAATTTTACTCAACCGTAACTCTTTGGTCGTCAAATTAAATTCCGCAATTAATATAAATGAATGAAACTGCTGTATTTTAGTGTTCGCTAAGAGAGCAATCAAAACTAGAACGGGAAAATGACATTATAATTGACCCTTGGACAGGCATGCGGAAAAGGAGACTGACTGGTTCATGAATGCGTTCAAGGAAAGGAATATATATACATGATCAGGAATGTGGAAAAGGAAAGAAAACAAGAAAGCTAGGAATTTTCATCTTTCATATTGAAGATTTCAAAGGGCGGAACCATTTTTTGAAGCATGGATGTCCCTTGGAATGTCACCATCTGGCTGTAGTTATTTCTATAGCTGCTAATCTGCAGAACAAGAGACATCTTAATTATCGACCTTAGTTAAACCCAGTTGCGCCACATTACTATGAATTGTTGTGGTGACAAAAATGTTAGGCACCTAAGTTGTAAGGCGTAGGTGGAAACAATGTTATATATACCTGCTCCGGTTTCATCCTGTCGAACCCAAATTTATCTGTCCATATGGATTCTGCCTCTTCAGCAGCTGGCAGCACAAGATTCTTTACGTTCAACAACGCCAGCAGTCTCTGAATGCAGGTGAAGAGTAATTGGAAGTAGCCCTGTCAAGGTGAACCCATGTATTAAAAATTAATGCACTTCTAAGACATGGGAGTACGTGATCATAAGACATATCAGCAATAAACCAAAATTCCAGAATGCAGGCCAAATCTTGAGCAAGAGGAAGGGATTCGATGAACTTGCAAAGCACAGGCACTTCAAAATATTCTAGTCAACACCCTACATTGAATGTAAACATTTGATATGCCCGTTTGTTTGACATGTATTGGATACAAAACTCCAGGCAACAGTTTTATATTATACAAATTTTCTGTTTTGGGTCAGACAAGTAAACATTTTAAATTCTATTTTTCGGCCACTAACATCTTAAATTATGTTGCGTTGCCTCGTCCAATAGAAGTGTTGTGTGTCCATGCTTCATAGGATTACCATTGTGATTACTCCAGTACTACTACATTCTCGTACCTTTCCATGATTACCATTGCTTGTTGCAACTAAAGGAAGTTCTGCCACATCTTTACCAAAAATTCGAAGCATGCCAGCTGATACAACAGTTGAACTGCAATATCAAGAAAACAAACTTTAAACAGCACTGTGAGTGATAAAATTTAAAAACTGAAGACAGAAGAACTTTCTTACTCGACCGATAATATTGCACAATACATTCCTCCAAACTCTTGACTCCGCACATTCCTTCTGAGAGTGAGACACCAGTTAATTGACTCAATGGAAAAAAATTGATCATAAAATGAAAAGCAAACAAATGGTACACAAATCAGACTAAAAAAAGTTAAGTAAAATGTGTTTTCTTACCCGTAAACCATGGCTGGGATTAGGTCACGTCCACTAGTTGAATCAACTATAGGATCAAAGCATTCCTGAAGCATGCAAATTGTCGGATACAGAGAGGTCCTCAAAGAAAAACAAAAAAGTGCTGAAAGAGAACCAGACTTGTAACTCGTATGTGCCCAAGCAACACCCGAAGCTGGGCTCAGATAAAAACCATTACAATTGACAAAAGCTTGTCACGGTCATCAGGAACACATGCAACATGAAGTTGATCATAAAATCACAAGACAAATGTGCTCACATGCATTTATACAAAAGGCGAAATATTAGTTCAGCAGTTATTGTAAATAGGTTCCTCCAAAATTTCTTCAATATTTGTTAAATCACAAATCAACCAAGCTGAAATCAGACTGAGTCAAGGAAAATCAAATCCAAAAAGGCACTTATCAAAACAGCAAGGAAAATATGGTTTGCGCTGGCTAAGAATGCATAACAGATCTACCAATTATTTCAAGAAACAAACAAGTATTTTTTACCTCCATCCCTTACATGGGGGGAAAACAGAGATGAAAAAAATCAGGAGAATGGGCACAACTAACATGAAAGATTGAAACAGCCTCTGACAGCAATGGCCTCGTTTCAGGAGAAGCAAGTTTGCCATTAATAAGCCTCCATCTTACATCAATATCATTGAAAGACTGCAAACATTTTTCCTCTTGCTTTGTCCTCATAACATCCACGAGAGAGTCAGGAAGTTTCTCAGCCCCCCTAACCAAGAACTTCTGCAAAGTAGAATGTATTCTGCTGCAATCCGTGCAACAAAACCAATTTCCTTCCGGCAATTCCTGTCAGTAGTTCCAGTCATATGATAACAAGTTCAGTGGAAAAGAGAGATCAGTGTCCAAACTAACAAATCAACAAATAAAGATCGCAATAAACCACGTACCTTCAAATATGCCATCTTATGATCCCTCAAACAGCCTACATGATATTCCTTCTCACACTGGACCCAGAAAAGAGGGGGATGAGAACACGTGTCTGGTTTTTTTTTCTCTTAGTTATATCAAAGGGGCCTAAGTCCATGTGTTCAGTTAATTTGATAGAAACAGAGGTGACCTGTATACTTTCATATCAATAAAGAAGCAAAAAACCATCCATCATGCTGTTTTATGAACACTGAAGTGGAAGCAGTTTGGGTGCACTGATCTGGAACACCCAGATCAAAATTAGACAGTCCAAGTATAAAATAATTTTATTTTTATATATATAATAACATACTTTTAAACAATGTAGAATCTAAAAATAATAATCTCCTAGCTGTCATTATCCAAAATAATAATAATAATAATAATAATAATAATTTTCCATTTCAAAATTATCAATTGAAAATTTTAAATGCAAGCCATTGAAACTAGATTTGAATGGTTCAGATCTCATTACAGTGATGAGCACCGTGTAATGATGAGCATTGAAACCAAACCTCATTGAAACTATATTTCTTGTAGATATTTGATTCCTTGAATGTGACTTTTAAGAAGAGAAGGGTGGGAAGGAGACTAGCATGCACACCTGGTCGCAGAGTATAATTGTGCGAGGACCAAATCCTGACTTGCTGAAGTCATAACCCCTACATGCAAAAATTTTTCTGTTCGTAAAATATAGCTAAGGTGGAAATTCACAATTTCACAAGGTGGATAAATAATTCAAGTATAACAGTATACATGGCAGTAATTTCTCAGTACAAGCATCGGTATGAAGAATTGAAGATACATAAGCAGATAACCAGATAAGCTTAGAATCTAAAGGTTGAATTATTACCCGCATAAAGCACAGCCACACAGCTCAGCGTCAATGCCTTTGACAATGCGAATGCATCTCTTGGTTATTTGTTCAATAGGATCAACCCCATCAACCCTTCCAGCAGCTACAGCATTGGCATTGTGTTCTACAAATCTTTCCCTCTGGAACATGTTTCGGCAAAACTTACAGTACCAGTCGCCTCGCGGAATGCTTGACAGAGATGCACATTCTGTACATTTCAATGGAACACAATGGTACATTCAGAAGATGACTATCTCGTCATATGAAACATGGGAAAAAGTTTGCTTCAGAGTACTTTCTTTCCTTTTCTTTTCCAACTGCTTCAAAATACTCCCCCCAGTCCAAAATATAAGCATTCCCCCCCCCACTAATCTTGGTTCAAAATATAAATAACCTAATACATGTAAAAAAAATTTCTCCATTTTAACCCTTGTATTTATTAACATAGATTCTTGTGTAAATTTATCTCTCCTTCATCATTAAGTGCATTGGTAATTGGGACTATGGGTAAAAAAGAGAAAACAATATATATTTTTATGAGAATGAGAAATTTACCGGTATGTGGATTTTTCCTAAAAATTGCTTATATCTTGGATCAGAGGGAGTAGTTTCTAAATCAGCAAACGGTGGGCAAAACTTTTGGTTGAAAAAGTTATTAATTAATAACGTCATAGATGTTAACATTCTCACTATCTGAAGTTATGCCCAAGGTATGCATTCTAATGCATTCTAAGATCATTCCTTATTTTATTTTGAAGATAAGGAGTGCAATTAATAAGAAAATGTAGGCCACAGGGTTCAGTCAGCTAGTATCCTAGTGTGATATATATATATATATATATAGAGAGAGAGAGAGAGAGAGAGATTAAACCAAAAAAATTAAAATGTCAGAAGGTTGATCAGAAAACATAACAGAAACCAGCCAACAATTACATATCAATTAACCAATATTAATCACGTGATTTCCAACACATTACAATGGATAAGCAACCATAGCATAATGCCAATTCTACCAATTATAATAAGTTGCTTTAAACAGAGTAAATTACACGCAACTGCCCTGAGGTTTTGAGAAATATCAAAAGCCCCTGCAAATCTCTATTTTAACTTTTCATACAACAACCAACCATTATTGATAGAGGTAGAAGAGAAAGAGGGAGAGAGAGAAGAGGCAGAAGGGATATAGAGAGGGAGAGAAAGACTAATTCCATTCATACCCATCCATTACAACCTAGAGACCTATTTATAGAGAGTATGCTAAATACCCAAACTACCCTTATATCACTAATTTCCCTAATATTCCTAAATCCCATGTATCAATTATGCTATTGGAATACTTGAAAGAAAGGATAAGGGAGGGGAGGAATTTTAATGTTCCCTCTTTTGGTTTAGGGGAGAGGAAGAGGGATTTTAGGGCCTATTTGAAACTGTTTTTGTTTTATAATTTTGAGAACTGGTGTTTTGTACAACATATTCTGAGAATTAAAAAAAAATAAAAATGGGTATTTTTCTCACTCTCTCTTATTCTCTAGAACAATAATCTCAAAATACCTAAAAGATATTATCTATTTTTATTCTTCAGAACAATATTTTATTTTTTTTTCTCCAAATATTTTTTAAAAACATGTTACCAAACAGGTTTTTTTTTTTATTTTGAAGAACAAAAAACTATTTCCAAAACAAATTGTCAAACAGGCCCTTTGTTATCCATCTAATTACCCCCATTTTGGAGGGACTTTTTTCCTAACCAAATGAAGAGAGTGGAGATTTTGTTTAACCAAATGAAAGGAGGGAAGCAAAATCCCTTCCCTCCAATCAAACAGTGTTAAGCATAAACTTGCATTTTTTTCCCTCCTCCTCCATCATTTATCTTGTTGCAAGAACAGGATCAAAACTCAAAATGCACATGAAATGGACCAGATTGACGGAATTAGGTCTCTTACAATATACACAATCTCTAATCATGAGCCTCATAATCAATTTTGGTTTACTCCAAGCATCTTGTATATCAGCAGCATTATAGAATCTCTCTTATATTAACAACCTAGGTGATATGATAATAGAAGTTCTAAGTGCAACACTAGAAGTTAACAAATAAGAAGTTAATGATCACACACAAAGTAGCATCTAGATAACATGTCCATTATTTTTCTTGTTCTTCTAATGTATATCTGAATCTGACCTTTATGAAATGCCCTTGGGCATCCATCACAAAGCAACAGATTTCCACCATCCCAACAAATAATGCAAAGATCATCATTGTCCTTTGCAGAGTACTTGCGGCCTTTTGAAAGAGAAATAGCTAATTCATGGAGAGACACCCCATTTGAAGTGTAGATGTACGCATAACTGCCCAAAAACATCAAACTTTCATGAAAACAGACAATAGTGGCAATCAACGCAAAAGGCCGCCAAATATCCAACCAACCAACTTCCCAGAAAAGAATTAAGAAAAAAGCTTACGGTTTCCTGCGAGAAGCCCAGCCGGCATGGACCTCAAATTGTGATGGGCTGACCTGCACAGCAAATTCAAACATAAAAGCTCATTTGCACAACATACTGATTTTTAGGAGCACAAGCAGATTTGCAAGAAAATTGTTAAAAAAAAAAATACCTCTGTGTTGCAACACCGACAAAGTATTCCAAAGCCCTTTTTGTAACCCTCAAGCAATTTCTATCAGTAAAAAATTATAAGTCGATGCATTAACAGACAGAATTACATAAACTTATTACATGAATTAGACACACAATCAACCTGCCCATGTCCATAATAAGCAACTTCCGTTCCATCAGGCAATCCACCTTCTTCAAAAACTAATTTATGCAACCGCTGATCCCTTGAGAAGAAAACATTGGATGAAAAGTGATTATCATTACTAAAACAAAGGGAGGAACAACCAGACACGCATGCAAAGATCAAAGGGGATGAGTTGAACTAACTTTTTAGTGATCTTCCATTGACTCTTATTTTGTGAAGATAAACACTCTGAGTTTGATGAAATTAGTGGGGTCTTTAGTTTTACTGAAAATTTTGTTGACCTGGAAATAAAAATTAAAAAAAGTCAAAAGAAAAGTTTCTCTGTTAACAATTCACCAAGAAGCACATTATTATAACTACATCAAATTTTCCACCAGATAAAAGCCAGATACGAACTTCTTCAACTTCTGCAGAGACTTCTTTCGTGATAGGATAGGCACAGATGCAGTCTCGGAAGACTTTGAGCTACTAACCCGATTTGTTGTCCTGAATAACACAGTTGGCAGCATACAAGTTAAAACAACAAATAAATAAAAACCGCAACAAGTTAGCGATTGTATAACAATTAGTAACAAAAATCTCACTCAACGGAACTCAGAACCAAGAAAAAGGCTATTGGTCAGTACAGATTTGTACAACATATAAAGATATAAAAACCAACCTTGTTCTTTTCTTCCAATGTTTGTTAATTTGTGAAACTCCGCCTATGTTTATAGCCGGTCCCAAGCCCGGGTAAAGGAGGAGGGTTGTGTTAGGCCATCAACAGCCAATGTAAAAATTTGTTGAATCTATCATGAATATGGACAATAGACGTTATAATGTTAATGCTAGGTCGTTGCCCGTAAGTAACGCGCTGCATGGCTCGAGTACAGTGATAAGTGAGTTAGAGCCGCTGCATCGGCGCCCGGATGTAGTGTTAAATGAGCAAGGGCTACCGCGTCATTCTGGACGCACGCGGCTAAAGAAGTTAGTCCATAAGAGCAAAATTAGATTTGGTACTTGGAATGTTGGGACATTAAATTGTAAATCTGTAGAGGTTGTAGGGGTTATGATTCAAAGGAAAATCAATATCATTTGCTTGCAAGAAACAAAATGGCGTGGAGAAGAAGCTAAGGATATTCAAGGTTTCAAACTTTGGTATACAGGAAAAGTAAGTGCACGCAATGGAGTAGGCATCATTATAGATAAGGAGTGGAAGAAGAACGTTGTAGCAGTTAGCAGAATTGAAGATAGAATTATTTCTTTAAAAATGATAATTGGACGTGAGACTGTTAATATTGTTAGCGCTTATGCGCCGCAAGTCGGGACAGAAGCCAGTCTTAAGGAATTATTTTGGGAGGATCTAGAGGGGTTGATTCGACACATACCACAGAGTGAAAAGATTTTTATTGGAGGAGACTTTAATGGGCATGTCGGGAGGGAAGTTGGTCAGTATGCGAGGGTGCATGGTGGTTTTGGTTTTGGAGAGCTAAACAATGAAGGACAAACTCTTCTTGATTTCTCATTGGCGTATGATTTTAAGATTGCCAACACTTGTTTCAAGAAGAGAGATGAGCATCTCATCACTTACAAAAGTGGAGCCTCAAGGTCGCAGATTGATTTTCTTTTGGTTAGGAACACAGATAGAAAACTTTGTAAAAATTGTAAGGTGATACCCGGAGATGCTGTAACGACACAACATAGGGTCCTAGTCCTTGATGTGTGTATTATGAGTAAAATCCAAAAACGTCGACAAGTAGTAACACCAAGGATTAGGTGGTGGCAATTAAAAGGTGAGAAGCAAGATATTTTCAAGCGAAATCTTTTGGATAAAGGAATTTGGGATTCTCAGGGAAGTGCTAACATTATATGGGAGGATATGGCTAAAAAGATACGGGAGGTTGCAAAAGTAGTTTTGGGAGAATCGAAAGGTTCTGGTCCGAGAGATAAGGAGTCTTGGTGGTGGAATAATAATGTACAGGACAAAATCAAGTATAAGAAGAACTGTTTTAAAGCCATACATTTGTGTAACAATGAGGAAAATTGGGAGAGGTACCGTTTGGCTAAGAAGGAAACTAAGAGAGCTGTGGGTGAAGCTCGTTCTAAAGCTTTTGAAGAATTTTATAAGAACCTTGAGACGAAGGAAGGAGAGCAAAATATTTATAAGATTGCCAAGAGTAGGGAAAGAAAATCAAGAGATCTAGAACAGGTAAGGTGTATTAAGGATGAAGAGGGAAGAATTTTAGTTACAGATGATGAAATTAAAAATAGATGGGAGACTTATTTTTCTAAACTTTTCAATGATGGAGAGGATTCATCTAGTAACTTGGAGGATTTAGTAACTGGTGAAGGAGAACAAAATTTGTCATTCTATCGAAAAATACGTGATAAGGAGGTAAAGGAAGCTCTTAAGAAAATGGCAAATGGTAGAGCCAACAGACCTGATTGTATATCTATCGAAGCGTGGAAATGTTTAGGTGAAGAAGGGGTGAGATGGTTAACTAAGTTATTTAATGTGATTTTACGGTCCAAGAAAATGCCTGATGAGTGGAGGAGAAGTACATTAATTCCTATTTATAAAAATAAAGGAGATATTCAGAATTGTACTAACTATAGAGGGATTAAACTCATGAGCCACACAATGAAATTGTGGGAGAAAGTAATTGAGCACAGGTTGAGATTGGAGACAAGTATTTCTGAGAATCAATTTGGTTTTATGCCAGGTAGATCAACTACAGAGGCGATTTATCTACTAAGGGGATTAATGGAAAAGTATCGTTGTAAAGATAAAGATCTACACATGGTTTTTATTGATTTGGAAAAAGCTTATGACCGTATACCAAGAGAAGTGCTTTGGAAAGCGTTGGAAAAAAAGGGAGTACGGATTGCTTATATTAAAGCCATACAAGATATGTATGAGGGGGTAAAAACTAGTATAAGAACGCCTAGTGGTCAAACAAAGGATTTTCCTATAAAGATTGGACTACATCAGGGATCATCTCTGAGTCCTTATTTGTTTAACTTGATTTTAAATGTTTTGACGGAACATATTCAAGAGGAAATCCCGAAATGTATGCTCTTCGCGGATGATATAGTTCTTATAGCAGAGACAAGAGAAGAGGTTAATTGCAAACTTGAGTTATGGAGGAGGACATTGGAGTCGAAAGGTTTTCGTCTGAGTAGAAGTAAGACGGAATATTTATATTGTAAATTTGGTAAAGGACTATTCGAAAATAATTTGGAAGTGAAATTGGGAGATCAAATTATACCTCAAGTGGAAAAGTTTAGATATTTGGGAGCCATTATTCAAAATGATGGCGAAATCAGTGGAGATATTTCACATAGAATTCAAGCTGGGTGGTTTAATTGGAGAAAAGCTAAAGGAGTTATTTGTGACCGTAAGGTGCCTAATAAACTTAAAGGAAAGTTTTATCGTACTGCTATCAGACCGGCAATGTTATATAGTAGTGAATGCTGGGCTCTAACGGGACAGCAAGAGCATAAAGTTGGAGTAGCAGAGATGAGAATGTTACGATGGATGTGCGGACATACACGTAAAGATAAAATTCGAAATGAGCACATACGCGAAAAAGTGAGGGTGGCACCTATTGAGGAAAAAATGGTAGAAAATCGGTTGAGATGGTTTGGGCATGTACAAAGAAGACCAAGGGAGGCACCAGTGAGAAGAGTGGAACATATAACTTTGAGTCCGATTAAGAGAGGTAGAGGAAGGCCTAAGAGAACACTCTTGGAAGTTGTTGAACGTGATCTCTTAATTAATAATATTTCTAAAAGCTTAATAAATGATAGAGCACAATGGCGTCTTGCAATCCATGTAGCTGACCCCACCTAGTGGGATAAAGGCTTGTTGTTGTTGTTGTTGTTGTTGTTTGTTAATTTGTGACAAGTTACACAGCTCAGAATCACTTAATGGTTTGGAGGCTGAAACTGGTCTAGGAGACCTGAAACGTTATGATAAAATGATGAAAGAAATAAGAGCTCTGACAATCAAATTGGGGCCATCTCACATGTAAAATGATGAGACAATCGTTGGAAGCCAGACATGACAGCTCTCAGTGTGAATGTGTGTGTGCGCTACAGAGATAGAGAGAGTTGAAGAGAACACTTGTTTCCTCCATGCCAAGATATCTTTTTGCTTTTCTTTTTCATGGTAATTTACTTTAAGAATAAGAAATCTTTTGTTACATAATACATACTGAAGGCACACATAATTAGTTACATCATTAGTATACCAGTAACTATTTATTTAAATCACACTACCATTTCTGGATCAACAACATGAACTTGCGGTCAACCAACAAGTTAAAACTGAATGAAGTTTCTAACTTCACAATATCTCGTGTGTTTCAAGACAATGAAACTAAATATAGTAATACATTCTATTGCATATCCAAAAAAGAAAGAAAAAACATAAATAACCTTTCTTATGATAAAATTTTATTACGACATTTCAGTCAATAAAACATATTACTGGATATCTGAATGCTGCTCAGATGAAAGCAAATGTCCTAATTAACCCAAAAGAAAGAATAAATTAGTACCTGACTCTTTTACCCACCACACCAAGCAAACTGCCTTCAGATTCCTTTGATTCAACACAAGTTCTACATATAGGCCGTACTTTTCCCACTCGTAAAGAGGAAAAACATCCTGCGGAAAATAATTATACTAAAAATAACAACAAAATATAAAAATGATACGCCTTTAAAAAGCAAATCAAGGATATATACTCTTTTAATTTAATTTTGGCTTCGGACGATTTTGGCCAACATAACAAACAGTCAACCACACCAAACAAAATTAATGACCCCAAATAACAAAAGTGAAGCTCACCTTTGCACCTTTTACACGTAAGATATTTTTCTTGGGGTGGAGAACAAACAAAATTTTGAATTGTCGTCTCCAATGTATGCAGCGGAGTTCCACTGCATGCTCTCAATAATTCAAGCAGGCTCTTTCCGTTTTCAAAGCAAATATACTGTGCTGCTCGCCTATATGATTTGCAAGCATGAACCTCGAATTGGGAAGGTGGAATAACCTTCATAGGCAAAAGAAAAGGGGAAAAATAAACGAACGGACTATATCAATTAAAGAACGCTGAGCATACAAGGCAATACCGTAAGTTCATAACTCACCTTGTGCCCATTGCACAGACAACAAGAGCACAAGATCCCTCCATCTGTAATAACACCCCGCAGGCCAGAAGCCTACAAAATAACGAGCCAAATTGCCAAATTAAACCCGACGGAACTGAAAGCTACATTTTCAAGAGACTACTATACTTATAAGAGACCGGCCCAAGCCTTTTCATAGAATGCTTTTGACTCGTAAGTCGTTATGCTTCTCCTTGAAAGCCTGTCAATTGCTCAATTATTATTAAGCATTATATTTGTCAATTACTATAATCGATATATTAATTAATATATATAAAAGTAAAATTTAAAACAACCCGGAATTAAATTAGCGGTGCTTCATTTTCAGTGCACGGGCGTGTATAGCTAGAATTTGGCTTGAACAATGAGCAGGAAGCACAATCCATTTTGTCAAAATGTAATGAGCGAAGGTAAAAACTGACCTTGCCGCCCATGTAAACTACTGAAACCCCATCCAGTAAACCAGAATCGAAGAGTTCCTTGACCGTTATAGGCTTCTTGCTGAGCACAATCTTCTTGGACATTTTTAGTTCCAACTTACTATGCGGAATTGTTGGCGCACTTAGAGAGGCGGTCTCTTTCTCATCTGGTCTATTATTTGCTGTTTGAGCAGCTTCTGGAGCAGTCCCCGTCTTATCACTGCGTTCAACCTTTGGTTTCAATGCCGATCGCGTAAACCGCCTCACTGTTTTATCTACATTTTTCTGTACCTCGCTGTTGTTAAAATGCTCCGCAGGAACCTCATTGGAGCCACCTTCCCCGGCAAGAAACTGCATGGGCTCGTTCTTTAATTCACTACACTTAATACGCCTTTCGAAATGGCAAACGACTTCATATTCGAAACTTTTTTTGTTCACCTCTACTTCATCGACGCCACCAACAGCTGGAAGGTCTGCATTTGGTTCCCGATGTTCAGAGGTCTTGTGTCTCTTAAGAGACCGGTTTGCAGGAGACCCATCACACAAATGCCGAGACGACTTTGTTCGGGTATAAACAACATAACCATTTACAGCAGAACTTTTCACTATACCACCGGGATTCTCAGACACGTGCACGGAAAACATCAACTGAGACTCTGAACCAGCATCAATTTCTGAAGATGGAGTAGGAGCGACTTGATCACATTGATTTAGAGACTGAATCTCCAGAGAAATCTCAGATTCCGATTCTTGCTTCATGCCCTCTTTGAACTCAGCCAGGAATCAGAACTTGTCTCTACAAAACAAGAAAATGAAAGGATAGCGAAACCCTAAGTGACTGAAATGAGAGAATCAAGCAACAAAGAAACACACATATACTAGAAGGCCATTGAAGCTGAAAATTGGCGAGGATCACTATCAGAGGATTGAGAGTTCCTAATAGTCAATGTAGGGTTTGGGAAAGTGCTTGCTATGTTTTAAAAAGCATTGCCTTCGAAATTGATTTGATTCAAAGAGAAACGAGTGAGGAAGGCGCCGAGTCGCGTGCACGAGTTTCACCTTCACTCACTGGTATTGAAGAAGGCGGAACTGAGAGAGAGAGAGAGGAGAACCAAAATTGGATGGGGTGGCAATTTAGGAATTGGGAAAAGGAAAAGTGGCAGATCTGTAAATTGATTTATGAAATTGAAACGCGTGGAATGTACATAATTGGCCCGCATTTGTTCTCTTTTTGCGAAAATGAAAATGACAGTTAAACCTCAAAACTCTAAATTAATTACAAATATCAATAAAAATAATTATAAATTTAAGCGTTTTATTTATAAAAAAATATTTAAGTATTAAATACAAATCTTATATTATAATAAAAAATTATTTATAATGTTTGAATTAATATTTTATAATTCATTTTATAAAAATTATTGTGAGAACTTAATTATTATTGATTTAATATTTTAGATTTAATTATCATTCTTTCTTCTCTTTTTGTTTTTGGTCACAAGTCCCCACCCTTGGTCTCAATTCGTTTTTCTTGTTTTTTTGGATAAAATCTCAATTCGTTTTGAATAGTCATTGACAAGCCCCTGGCTTCAGTGGGCCCATCTAGTTGGTACACGTTACTTCGTGTTTCACAATGTTGGGCTTGCTTCTTGAGCAATATCTTGTCAGGTCCTTTTTTTTTTTTTTACCAAAAGGTCCACTCGTTTGTAAATCTTGCATAAAAGAATTCCGGTTTCACACTAGAACATTTAAATTTGCGCCGGCATATATCAAAAATCAATGAAAATAAAATAAACAATGGAGAACGAGCAAACATAAAATGTTATATATCTTCCATAGGATATAAGGTAGCATTTAAAATTCATATATTTAAAATTATTTATTTAAATAATATAAAAAATTCTAACCCCAAGACAATGAAAAATTCTCCCTCCGTCCTTATATATGAGAAGCCTTCTAGAACTTTTTTTTTATTCCTAAATATAAGGGGTTATTAGCATTTTTTAATGAATTGACCATTATATCCTTATTAAATTGAAAATAGAAAAAGATAAATATTTTCATTAATTTACTTTGAAAAAAGATATTCATTCTTTATTTACAATAATTAGGGGCAAAATTAAAATTTTGCTGTGCTTTTAATTAGATAACCAACTTTTATTAGTTTGTGTAATTTGATTAAAAACATCCTATTTGTAGGGATGGAGGGAGTAGAGATGCAAGATGAAAATGAAAAGATAATGAGAATATGAGAGGGTTAAAATCACTAATATTTTAAATAATTAGGGTGTTGAGAAAGTTTAAAATTATAACATAATTATAATAAAGGAATTTCAATTAATAATTTTTTGTTTCAATTATAATAATTAAGGTTTAAGATGGATTCAAATTCAAATCCCTCTACATCCAAGCAGGGCTATTCACGGGCAAGTACGGGTCACTTGAGGCCTTGCCCATTATTAGCATGTTTTAAGCTAAACAGGTAGCCACCCACCCGTACCAACACATACCCATTTCCACCTATTTGAAAATGAGTCTAGGCAGGTACAAGCAAGTTTAGGTTACTCATTTAGCACACTAAAATAATTTGATGTTAAAGTAGTTCAAAACCAAACAAAAGTTACATAAATTTAAAGACAAACTATGAAACTCAAGCCAAACAATCAATAATAATTCAACAGTAAAAGGGAAAAAATATCGTCGATAACTTGTTCAGCATTGTTAACAAAAGGGTTTCTTAAATTTAATGTATATAAATCACACAATACAGAAGAGATGTCTAATGGTGATCGTAAAATAAAATCTATACGCACAATGGCAGATCGCACAGTACACAGATACCAAATTAAGAATGAGGCTAGGAGAGTAAAAGAAGAGAGAAGACTGAAGTTAGGGTTATTAGGTATGGCCATATAGGTAAGTAGGTATGATTAAAAAAAGTAATAAGTATATATGGGTGAGTATGGGGCCACCGCGGCCTTACCTGTTTCCCCTATTTTTGGCTAAATGGGTAGCCATTGCCTATCCCCATTGTTTTCCCATCATGTACAGATATAGGTTGACCTATAATGACCTTTGTCATTAACTAATATCCAACCATGATCATTAGAACTAATCAATTAGATTAAGACAGATTCCAGAGGAGGATGGTCATCCTTAGCTATCTTGAAAATTCTAAATGGGACATTAAAGTAAAAATAGTTTATACTTGGAATTAATTAACAAAGGCTCTTAAAATACTTCAAAATCATAGTATAACAGTCATGGAAGCAAGGGAAACAGTTGAGTATTGAAACCCACTAGAAGTCAAAAGAGTTAATTTAACCTAAGCAGGACTATTCGCTATAGCCAAAGGTGCATTCCTCTGTGGCTCGTGGTATAAGGCCACTTACTATAGCTAAACACTTCATCTACCATAATAAGCCCTTTTTATGCGATCTACTGCAAACGATGATGCCTTTCGCCATGGCCAACAAGCCATATCAACAAGTAAGACAGCTATTGAGGACTTAACTTTAGATGCCTCTAACTTTTTACTCAAACTTTTAATTCAGGTGATCCAAATGTCCACACAAAGATAAATGAATAACTTAGCTATTGATGCTTGTCTTACCGTCATCTGAAATCATATGGAGATTTTGGAAACCTAAGAGAGAAGACATACATAGAATGCACTTGCATAGCGCTTCACATGCATCTAAGACTATAAATGCCCAAATTTTACCTCTCAAGGCTTACCATTAACTAAAAGGCTAATCAAATTAGAGTAGTTAACAACCCTCCACAATGTGCGTAACATCCTAGAAAATTAAACCCCTGATAATTAATCTAACTAAGGGTAATTAAGTAAGATTTATGTGGCGTGTGGTCAGAAGGGACTAGTAAGTGTCTTTGCTTGGGATTTCAAGTATAAATTTAGGTCTAAAGTGATATTGGGTCACTGGGCATTAAAAGTAGAGAAAAATAAGGAGAAAAGCCTCTATGCCATATGCTCCTGCACATGTGACGTGCGCTACGGTGCATGGCTGAAATTTTGCTAAAATAAGGGTCATGTTTATTCATGGAATAAAAGAGGAAAAGAATAAAAATGAACAGGAGAGCTTGGGCTTTGCTAAGGCTTCAATTGTGGGAAGATTGGAGGCATTTTAAAACTATAAATTTTAAGAGTAAGTTTTTTAACCTTTTCTTCTCCCTTTCCAATATATTTTCTTAAATTTATGGTTGGGGTTTGTAAGTGAAAGATAATTTTCAATCCATATAGGTTGTAGGTTTGAACTATTAACTCAAATGAAGTTAAGGAGAATTGTTTGAGGTATTTAAATAAGTGGCTGAGGGTTTTAAATGTTTTTAGTGGGTAAGTTACATTAATGTCTAAAAATAGGGCATTAAATTCAAGTTATGAGGATTATTGTGACATTGGTGACCTTATGTGAGATTAATAATTGTTATTTGGGGGATGATAGAAGTTAATACACTTAATGGATAAGCCTAAATATAAGGAATAAGGGCTTTGGATATTTTAGAAATGAGAAATGAAAGTTGAAAGTATATATTTGGCAGTGTTGATGAATTTAAACTTGATCAATTATAAATTAATCATCCTTGCACCATAATGGGCTTGAAGAAGCTTAAAGGCATGTTATTGAGGGGTAAACCTTTAATCTCTCAAAGATGTAAGGTAACTGGAGGCATATTTTGTGTAATTGTTTGTTAATTGATTTATATTTTAAAAAATGGATGAATTGATTTGAATGGTTGAATATCATGATTGTTATTATGCCAAAAATGCGATGAGACTTTACTAAACCTAATTTGACTACAATAATGAAATCAAACTTGAAAAGTTTTTACATTCTGATTTTTGTATTGAAATAAAAAGTTGGTGAGTTGATATGATTATATTGTGATGTGAAAAATGTGTGTTATAGGTTGATTTGATAAATATGTGATATAGAGGTTATGTACCTGTGTTTTGGAAAAAGAGTTATTATGAAAGTATTATAGATGTTCACATGGTTTAGATTGTGATTGTAACCCAAATGAGTCATTTATTCATGAAAGTTTAAAATAAGTGAGCATCATACATTGCACGATCATTTGGCAGGAATTCATCTAGAGAGAGGAGTAGATAAATTCATACGGTACTTATAGCCGCTTTTCAGTGCATAAAGGCTAACCTTATCTCACTGTTTGTTGAAGAACTGTCCTACAGCTTGTTAAGGAACTTGAACCTAGCTATCTCTACTTGTTTGTCGAGGAGACTAGCTTAGGGTATACGACACCCTAGAGATTTGAGAATGGGGAAAGTCATGGTCTAAGAATGAGTACACTAATATTTGATTGGGTCATTCTTCACAATTGGTGAGCTTAGGTAGTCCAGTCACACCGACAGAGTCCTGATAGACATTATAACCCATAATTTCAATCAAAGAAAATAAGAAGATGTTGATCATGTATATGTGTACCTAACATGTCACATAATTATTGAGTTTGAGACAAGTCTTGATAGTTGATTATGATATTGCCACGTAATTGTTTGTATTGTGGCAATGTGCATTAGTATTAGTGATTGAATCATTGTCACATGATTGTCTGTATTATAGTAGCGTGTTTCATGATGTAATTATGTGGAAAATTAGATAAAGAGTTGATGATGCACTGTATAATATATATATATATATATATGTTATGTGTGATTGCATGAAATCAAGCATTCAACTTTCATGTATATATTTTTATCAATTGATATGCAACTATATAGGATAGACATACTTTGGTTACTGAGTAGTTATATTCATTCTTCTCTTTTAATATTTTATAGGCTCTAGCTTTGGTGAGGGTAAAGGAAAGACTTTGGAGCCTTAGGAATTTATGTATTTCTACTGTAGAGCCTCTCAACCTAATTTATTTTGTATAATAAATAGCATATTGTTGATTAAAATGTATCTTGTATATACTTGTATTATATTATTGTTTATAATCTTATGATGTATTCTGCACCTTGAAATATTGTATGCAAGTTTGATTAAGTGTTAATAGAGCCAAAATATTGTGAAAGTGTAGGGAATATTGTTATATTGTTGAATTTGAAATATAATAGTTTATACAATGCTAAA